TCACTGGTAATAGAGAGACCTAGTATATAAATTATATATATTTGATATATATATTCTTTTAAAGAATATTCTCTATTATAAATGCATTATAAATTCCATCGCAAACCCTAACACTGAAAAACAAAAATTACATTTTTATCACAAAAAATATTTACAAAAAAAACATTTTTTTGTCAAAAAATATTTCGCACACAAATGAATGAAATGTTTTATTTTGTGATTGAAAATAATGGCAACAAAAATGTGGGCCAATACCACAAACTGAGAGTAAATGAGTTAAAAAGTTTGCGCTAAAAAATATTTTACTCTTTCTTATCTATCTATCACTTCCAGGGACCATTCACTAAGTACGTACAAAAAGTATTAACCACCCTACATAAACCAATTATAAACTAACTATTTAAATTTAACATAGCATGCTATATTATCCATGACCACCATACCTATGTTATGTGTATGTACTTAGTGACTGACCCCTTATAAGAATTTCTTGTATCTCTATATTAAAGAATAAAATTCTTGTCGTTTTTTTGGTGTGAATTACTGTTGAAAATAATCTTTTGTTTCGCGAGACTCATAGCAAACAACACAGCCTTTTGGTGTCTGTGCCCCAGAAAAAACACATAATGACTGCAATTAATCACTACTTCGCCAGGCATTGAGCGAAATTGAAATACAGGAGCCCTCACGTAATGCCTGTCCCTTATATTATATATAATACGGTGTATTAGTGATGGGATTTTCGTGCATTGAATTTACACATGAAAACAATGGTTAATAATCCGCGAGTGAAAAGCCATTGAATTTAATGAGACAATCGCGAAGTGAATTCGCTGTCAACAATGACATACACTATACCCGCACTTTGTGTGTAATCACCCGCCACAATAATGCCCTGGTCATTTAATAAATGGTTTGAATATAGCCAATTGTATAATACTTCAATAATAGGAATAAATTAATATATAATTTTAAATGTTAAAAATTATAAAATAAAAAACACATGGCAAATACTCCTATATACCTACTTTATATTGATATTTAAATTTTTAGTTAACAAGCACAAGTGATTCTAACCATGAATGATAAATAATGTCTAAAGACATAAATACTACACAAAAATCAATAAAAAGTTGAGTTTAATTTGTAAAACACTTTAAAAACTCAACACTCATTAAGAAAGTTAACTTTTTAATGACAAAACAGTTAAACATAAAAAAGTACACAAATTCTTAATTACTATCCATAAAGAATTCTGTACAGAATATTCTGTAGAAAATTAAAATTTCTACGCTAAAAAAGTATAATTAATTAAATACCTCTAAATTGGGATATAGTTTACAGATAATAAACTCGGGGCTCATTAGCAGTACATTAGGAGGAATGCCTACAAAACTAAGTCTTAAATGAGAGTAAATATAAGACGAAAAATATATCGTGTATTGTATGGAGAGATGAGAAATTTGATTATAATTTTCAATATAAATGAGCGCTAGATATATAAGACATAGTTCTTAATGTATATTATTTGCTCTCTTTGTCAGTAGAGAGAGAGAGAGAGAGAGAGAGAGAGAGATTTATCATTCAGTTTTAGTTAACAAAAACATTTGTTTCACATGAATAAGTACTGCATTACATGAATAGTGTGTTTAACAACAATTTTTTTTGTGTCTCAACTATATTTTTCCACTGAATTCTGTGTTTCATTACTTATATATATAAATAAATACTATATATATATTTCACAGGAATTCCTATGTATTTGTGTTTAAAAATCCAAATGAATTCCCATAAAACTCGCAGAATATTCTGACAAATTTTTGTGATTGAATTAAAATCGATTTTTGTTTGGGTATAGTATATATACATACAGAATATTCTGTATATTTTGCAAAATACATACATACTATACATTCATTTTTACACTCGATTTATATTGTATTGCATTTTTGTGGCAAAACTATTTAATGTTACGGAAAAGTCTGGAAAAATAGCTAATTTTTGAGTCCAAAACTAATTTATATTTAAAGTTGTTTTATACGAAATTGATTGACAAAACTTTTTTCGTGATTTAATTATACTGTAGCATAAATTAAATTACGCCATTTATCTAGCATATTTGCAACATAATTGTTGTTAACATTTATTAGCTATACTTTCGATACAAATTGAAAACTCTATTCAAACATGAGATACGATAAGAAAATTTGTTATATGGGTTTGCATTTGATTTACACACAGAATATATGCCTAAATAACACACATTTCAATAAAGTATGTGTCGGTCCCTGCGATCGATATATATTTTACAAATATATATATCCACTGAAGTCGAGAGAGAGAGAGAGAGAGAGAGAGAGAGAGAGAGATGTTTGTTGAAAATGAAAAGTTAAAATCAATTTTTGAATATCAAATACTATGCTCTCTCTTTCTCTCTCTCTCTCTCTCTCTCTCTCTCTCTCTCTCTCTCAGCAAATGCTCACAACTATACTAAAACCTATCGTACGAATGACTGTTAAAAAACACAGCAAAACATCGACTACTCTATCGTGCAATCAATTTATACCCGAAATGAACGGAAAAACTTCTATACTATGTATAAAAATTTAATCCATTTGTATGGCAATCAATAAACTTCTAGTAATCTCTATTAAGCACCAGTATGCGGTGTTAGGACTGACCTGAATGTCATATATCAGTGTAGTATTGGGTAACAGATTCTTATCCCTATTGATCCGATAGACCGCGTATTTGAAGGCTAACTCCGTTTGGCTGTCCTTTTGATCCTCCGTGAAGATCGCACCTACAGTTTGGACACAAAATTAATTGTTTAATGAGTTTTTTATACTTAATATACTTTTATTACGTTATTTATCATGCAATTAGATCGCTCTTATTTAAGCCGTAATGCATTTAATTAATTAAATATTTATTTAAGCATGGTAATCCCGTGTCATAACTGATTAGTACAGTACTAGGCGCGCGAAAGTTTAATAGGATTTACACAATTTATACAGAATATTCTGTATGTGAAATTAACTAAATTATCCGATTATTTATCGTATATATAATATATATATACTGGTATATATAAATTTATTTATACTAGTATATTTAATATATACATACTAGTATTCAAGCACTCAAAAATATAATGCTAGCTGCTTACATAACACATATACACATTACTTAATTATACGTTCAGATTATTATTGATAGGCAAAAATGTATAATATTTAAACTGAATTTTAATACCATTCCCCTAATAATGTATGCGTGGGTTTGTTGTTTTGCAAACTAAGCAAATGGAAAGGGAGTGTTGTTTTAGGGGTTATATAATATAATATATAACATACTATTTGGTATCGGCGAAAAACATAATCTAATATTATGCTAATATTCAAAAAACAAATATTTTATAACATAAACCTCCCACACTAACAACACAATAACAAAATCAATAGTAGAAATCCGTATTACCAGTGTAAATAAATTATCACCATAATGTATATGACAGTAATATTATATACACTGGCAAACATTGTTCAAAGTGTTGCACAATTTTTATTAATTCATAAGAATTTGCGATAAAAAAAATAATTTATATATTAATAGAAATTCTTTATCAAAGAATAAACAGTATTTCAGACAATAGGCTATCAATAAGAGAGAGAGAGAGAGAGAGAGAGAGAGAGAGAGCTCATGGAGGGGCTCACGTCTTATCAATTAGAAGGGAACGGCATATATAGCGGCAAAATGTAGTGCCAATAGTGTCGGCCCCGCGTAGTCTCGGCCTTAATTGAACGGATATTTTTGGATCTGACATGAGATCAATGCATTGCCTCACGAGAAGTCTATAAGTCTTTTGATTATCACCGAAACGAATGGCACACAAGGAATCGAGAGCACCGTTTGATTAGCGAAATAATAGGCCTCCCATCGAAAAGTAATGACTGAAATATTTAAGTATACATTTCCAGTCTAACGGTGCTCGCCATTAGGTTCATCAACAGGCCTGGCTGTCTATTGTCTTAATATATTTTCATTAAATACACGATAAATGACTGATTCATAGACACCATTCACAGTCATTCATGTAATTCGTGCGATTAGTTTACTATCAGAATTTACTACAGAATCGTAAATATTTGATACAAACATGTATACTATAATTAAAATCCTATGTTACTATTAATATGATAGCTACCAAATAAATTCAAAATATTCTTCACATATTATCTATAATTAAAAATTCTAAAAATGTTTATTATTTTCATCCATGTTACTTTTAATAACAATTAATATAATATAATGTTGACTATAATTCTGTACGACATATCCATTGTTTAATCGATGAGCAAATATTTTTGGTGATCAACCATATTATGGACAAAAAAAGTGGGCGGAAAGGGATCCGAAAAATATACGGAATAAGAGTAATGAGAATTCACAGAATTCCTCAAATAAATTGTCATTTAATTGAATAGTTTTCGCGAATCCATTGGATTCTTGACTATAATTATATCAATCAACGAGGGAAATCATCTCGCAGAAAAAAACAAACACAATAATTATATACAAAAAACAATCTGGAACAATTAAAATTACAATTTATTATGTGAATATCTAGCACAAAAACATTTATATTAACACAAAAATCATTAAAGCCTCTAAAACTCATATAATTCCCTATTATTACGCATAATATAATGTAGGATAAAATGAGTGATAGTGTAGACAATGGGGGAACGGTATGTCTTTTTTTGTATTACACTTTAGGGGATGGTATGCCTACTCAGCGCCTGTATTCTCTCATTCACTCACAATTGTTACATCCAGTTGTTTGTCTACAAATTTTTTCCATAGAAATCCTATTCACACACAAGTGTTTGAATTATATTTCATGTGTGTTCACAGAATATACAGAATATTCTGTAGACATTTTTCATCATACAATACGTTATATAAAATTTTCGCAATTTATTCCTTGTATACATACTTATAATAAACCAATTCACTATTTTTGGAAATTATATCAGAATTTATATACATGTATATAAATATATTTATTTTTGCAAATAGAATATGAGTTTTTATATAATAAAGAATTTCTACAAAAATAATATTTCTATAAACTAAATATTTTATTTATATTAACAAAACTCGCGACAAATTCTGTGTTAACAAAGGAATTGCAAAATATATAACAGAATATAACATAAAATTGAATTCTCAATGAATTTTAAAGTTTTCACATATTCATAAAAATTAAATGTTTGAAAATAATTTCTGTATGTTTTCAACATTTCGGAAAACATATCATTAAATGAAAATTTAAATCTATTTTCTCGGAGACTATAGTATAGTCTCATATTTTTTACGCAAATTTTCTACTCTTAACCATAAATTATGCATTAAATGAGAATAAATTCAAATGAAATCTTAAATTCAAGTGTTTTTTGTCTTAGTTTTTATAAACTTCACTACAATTGAAAAGATTTCCTACAAAAAACACATCAGAATTACAGAATATTCTTAACATAAGATTCTCATGAATCCGTTTGACTCATAAATATATAATTTATATATTTTTTGAGAGTTAATCGATAAGTATTTGCATAAACTCTCTCTCTCTCTCTCTCTCTCTCTCTCTCACTCACTCACTCACAAGTAGCTAAACTTAAAAGTAACATTGTTCAAACACAAAATAAAAAACTACATCATTTAAAAAGCTGTGAATTCATTATTATTCAAAAAATATATTATTTTAGAATATTCTGTATATAAAATCTATAACAAAATTTTTAAAGGTTATATAGCTTGCATATTTTCCATACAAATATATCCTATCGATTATTATCATTACATAACACATAAAAACCATTTCCCAATTGAAAAACTATTTTTTCTCATCAAAACAAGTGCTATAATACTGGGAAAGGGAGTGAGAAGTCCTAAAAAATTCCGACAATTCTTATCCATATTTCTCTCGACAACTCGTTTCTCAATACATTTAATTTCGATCCGAGAAATAGATTATAAAATGCAATGAATTTCTTAGTATTGTATTCAATATAATATAAACATATATTCACTGAAAAAACTCGGAGACAAATAACTATAGATTTCTCTCTCTCTCTCTCTCTCTCACTCACTCACTCACTCACTCTCACTATTCAATCGATATTTTTCTCTCTAATATTACTCAACAAAAAAGTACTCAAAGAAAATACAACCAAAAATATCTCCCTATCCCTATCATCCCTATCCCTATGAGTCTCGAGTATACAAATAAAGCGAAAAGACTTTTAAATCATTCGTTAAATTCCTATAAAAATTGGGTTTTGAGACAACTTTTCGCTGAGAAAATTGTATTACTTATGAGTGAATGGCGTCTAAATAAATGCCATTTTATAAGAGAGGGAAAGGCATTAATTTCCTGATTGCCTCGTGATATAAGTGCCACCGATTTCTGAGGCACTTCATGTCATTCGTATCAGACATACCAGTGCCCAGCCATCGGGGCTGACCGTAGTATCGATGCCATGCTATGTGTCGACAAGAGTTTACAGTTTGAAAGTCGACTCAAATTAGTGATCGATTCATCGGATTCTGGATTCTCTCTCTCTCTCTCTCTCTCTAAGAGCGCAGAAAATGTAATCGCTTTTCAAACTCCAATACATTAGGTGTCGGAGCGATCACTATATGAGATGTGATGGCTGTGTATAAGAGCACCGACACCACAACCCATGATACGCTTGAATACATTGTGAGACCCAAAAACGGTACACACAATGAGAGGCTTTCCATTAATTTATTCGCTTTATTACCTCTATTTGCATAGAAATTGAATCAAATTTTTAGGCAAAATTAAATTTCTTTTAAATATTACACACAAAGGAGAGACACATTACGAGAGAGAGAGAGAGAGAGAGAGAGAGAGAGAGCAGTGTTTTAATTATTTTAGTTTACTTTACTTTAATTATAAAATATATATTCAAATATAAAGCATGTGTTTGAAAGACATTACATTATAGTCGAGACAAATACAAAACGACTGCAAATACATGCGATGTGTGTATGAAAAGTGCATTCAATGCAAACACAAACTTAGATAATAATGTATAATATTTTATAATATATGACACATAATGGCTGAGAATAAGTACAGAATTAGCACTAAAGAGATGTCTATACAGAGACTATACACTCAAATGACAAGTAATAAAAAGCATTGAAGTGTAGGCAATAACTGGAAATAACAGAGAGAATGAAATTATTATAAAGTTTTTCCGTTTATCACAAATAGATGAGTGAAAAAACACCTCTAAATCAAAGGGATAACTCAAATGATAAGTAATGTTTCGACTCATAAAAACTGCATTCAACTCATACTTTATTACACAGAAAAGTAATAGACATTAATATATCGTATGAGAAATATTACTATAAAAAATCATTGATTTTTTAGTACTCTCTCTCTCTCTCTGTCTGTCTGTCTCTCTCTCTCTCTCTCTCTCTCTCTCGTCTATTATCGACAGAAAAAATAATCGAAACGAAAATATTTTCATTGCTTTTCAATCGTATTTCGCTTAAGAATAATAATAAATCTCAAGTTTTTTGCCCACATATACAGAATATTCTGGATTATGAAAATACTTTTTTTGCGATTGAATCAGTTATATTAAAATATATTATATGGAAAGTAAATGTTAGTTTTTTCTTATCAGGATGACTTTATTTTCACTTAAGATATTCACGTTTCGTGTGTATATATAATATCAATTTGAATATTTATGGCCATAATATACACATAGAAATAAAGCTTACATTTCATTCAAACATCAAAAATCTGATCAAAACTTCAAATATTTATTTTTGATTACAATCTTTGTATCGTAAACAATATTTACATTTTTATCAATTTTGTGGCCAAAATCAATGCATTATTTTCTATCTTATATTAAAATATTTGTTATATTTTTTATACACTACTTTCAATTTTGCTGCGAATATTCAAATTCACTATAATATTAAGATTGTGTATTATATTCATATACTTTATTTCACATCAAATATTAAACATGATACTGTAAAAAGCATATTAAACTAGTAGAAATATACACTGTGTGTGTTTTTAAAATGCAAAAAATGCATTGTCTTATATTTCATTACCTAAATCCGAGGGAAAATTGAAAAAAATTATGAATAATTGATACCAAAAAATATATTCAATTTTCATACTATATATATGGCACTGAAAAATGCATTTAAATCCGAATTCTGTTGACTATATTATAATAATAAGTTTATGATAATACTAGGGGATAGGGATTCAGTGACCCGGCTATAATTGATAGCCACGTATCCATCAAAAAATCTCAAGTATTGTAAATTGTATGACATTTCTAGCGATAATAAACACGAAAAACAAATTCACATTTGAGTTGCGATAATAAGTTATAAAGTATTATTGTGTATTATTAATTCACAAAAATATTATGCTAGTATAAAAATATAATTTATACATTTCTGGTGATATATTTAAATGCGTTTCCAGAAAACATTGCAAACAAACAAAAGATTACACATATATTTGACGATTTAATGAATATCTCACAAAAATAGCTACAATACTATACGATAATAAAATAATCATTCATTCAAATACATTGTCTATGAATAACACTCTCATTAATTATATACAGCGTAACAAAACAACACTATGTATAATATAATACAATATAATATAATTAAAAACTAAAAATTGTTTTAAATTAATCAATACATGTGTGCAAACACACACACCCTATAACCTTATGGACAGACAAATATTTGTTGATAGCGTGGCTTTAAATTAAAATTTATTACACTATAACAAACTCAATGTAATGAATTTTACTCCTAGTATCTAAAGCTTTTCCCAATATTATTATACATTGTGTTCGCAATGATTACAGTAAACACACAGAATATTCTGTGTATACACACAAAAAACACATGCGATTTATTGCCCGGATTATTAACTCTATTGCCGTTCCCATTGTTTGGGCATAAAAATAGTTTTTCATTTTGCTCAGCACTCATCCAAATCTATTATATATTTTCACTACCAGTCCCCTGTCATCCCTATCCTCCCAGTGCTCTAAGCGCTAGTCTCTAACACTAAATGATCGCCTAATGAGTAGCGCTTCGCTCAACAGAATATTCTTAGCGTTTAGTCAATGAGCAGAATATTCTCGTTGTGTTCAGTCAATGAATAACATGCGATGTCTATGTGTGCCGATCAATATACCCTGTATATACTGTTTGGTGATTCAATTTAAACATTCGCTGCCTTTTCAAAACCATTTTGCCAATGATTTTCACGCTACCAGTGCTCACAATTCAATGAAACATTTCTCATTAAGTGTGTATTAATTAAATGAAACAAGTTAAATGTGTAAACTTTTGTCCACATTCATATTATATACATTATAACCTAGTATAGTCAATCGATACCCCCATTGTACATGTAACTTTCAACTATCTGGCACAAAATAGTAATTATTTTGATTACCCACTTAAAAAATACAATCGCAAATCTTTCAACATTGATTGTGATTTAAACCACTTTTTTAACAATTACTTTTTTGTGCTAGCTATATATATAGTTGAGTACTTTTTCTGGTCACACAAAAACTAATTCCCCTTTTTAGACGTTTAACAAAATGTTTTTTCTATTAAATTCAAGTATTGGTTAAGTATTTCTCTCTTTTTTATATTCATTTGAAAAGAAAAACTGTAAAAAACTCGTTGAACGAGAGAGAGAGAGAGAGAGAGAGAGAGAGAGAGAGACTTGGAAATGGAGTTATACGAAGGAAAGGGATGCCTAAAAAATAGAGAATAGAAAATAGGAGTCTATTCATGAATATTTAGTCCTCTGAGCGATCAAAACAGTCAAAGTCATTGTGGAGTAAAAAATTACTTCGAGTGCCAATTGTCTCGTGAAATCCATTTCCACACACACTTCGGCACGACTTTCAATGGTGTTTGACGTGTAGTGTCATTGCAGTCGCTGATAGTTTGCGTGAAATGTATGCGAGAGAGAGAGAGAGAGAGAGACTTGGAAATGGAGTTATACGAAGGAAAGGGATGCCTAAAAAATAGAGAATAGAAAATAGGAGTCTATTCATGAATATAGTATTGATAATAGAGATGAAATGATGGCAACAAAAAAATAGTTGCGATTTTCAGTACACAATATAATAGCCGTACGGATGACTCGTATAGTAAAACAAATTTAATGTAAGGTTTTTGATCGTAAGGGATCACCAGAAAAGGAGTTGCATTCACATAGACATCGCTGTGAGCTATACAACCATTGAAATGGTCGTCCATCTAATATAAGCTACTGTTTCATCATTATTGTGTGTGTCGACCACTCAAATACACAGCACTGGTAGCCCTTGGCCCTCGTGTATATATATCTGCACCGACCTCTCAGATATAATATCTAATAAATATTACAAGTAATATATATTTCAAATATATTTGTGTTTGCATTCAAACAGGCAATAAAAATGTGTATTTTTTTCATTCACTAATAAAATGTTTGGGCAAATATTTTATTGGATATTTTGTTGACTACACAAAAACAAGTCTAAACTTTTTATCGATATATTAGACCCACAAAAAAAACTTTACATACAGTTCACTATACAGAATATTCTGTACAATAGTATCCGCGAAGTCATTGTTATTACGATAAAACTTATTAAAAACAAAAATCTTATTTCGCAAATCAATTCCCCATATCTTATGCTATATATTCATTAATATGACTGATATATAGGCAACAAATTACTATAGTATTGGATAACTATTTATATTTTATAGTATGACAGTCGGGATAGTAAGCAAAAAATCGTGATAACAAATATATCCTAGCACCATATATTAAAACTTATATAACATATTACTATCACATGACTGAGTGCTTGCTACTAATACCGCTCATATATTATGCGAATTAACGGAATCGCTGGCAAATCGCTATAAATATATCCACAGAATATTCTGTGTGTCACAAAATCGCGAGGGCTATAGTAGTGGTGGTGGGGAATGCCTTAAGGACTCACCAATTCTGGCGACATTCATCTTATTGGTAATTGTGGTGTCGATAGTCCTCTGAGCGATCAAAACAGTCAAAGTCATTGTGGAGTAAAAAATTACTTCGAGTGCCAATTGTCTCGTGAAATCCATTTCCACACACACTTCGGCACGACTTTCAATGGTGTTTGACGTGTAGTGTCATTGCAGTCGCTGATAGTTTGCGTGAAATGTATGCGAGAGAGAGAGAGAGAGAGAGAGAGAGAGAGAGATAAGTTAATTATGAATAAATGTATTGATTTTGCACTCGAAATGTTTTAGCTATCGTACGATAAATCGTAGCGTAATTCTAGTCATTATTTACTTTATATTTAATGGTATATTATATTAAAAATATCAAAAACTACAGTAATGTATAAAAATATATGAATGACTATAATTTGCTAATAAAATACATTTTCGCGATGAATATAACGATTATCTACAGAAAACACTCAGTACTAGACATAAAGTGCTTGAAAATATTAAAAATGAAAACAAAATACATACTAAAATTAATATAAAAATTTATATACACTAGCAACATAATTAAAATTTACTACACGTTCACATTTTAATTAAATTCTTTACAAAAATATAAAAATAATAATAAAATGTAAAGAATCTCATTGAATAACACAGGAAAATGTATCAAAAAATATCAGAATATTCTTTGAGACACGACTTACCCAACAGAATATTCTTCTCAAACGGATGTCAAACGCAAACAAAGTCTTGCGGAGAGACGACAGTCTACGGGAACGGCATTTGCTGTGAGACCCAGCGCTAGCACCTCCATGTGTGCCATAAAAATACACTTAGGCTACCAGTGCTGATCGAACATACACTATAAGTGCCGCGAAATGTATGGTATTTTAGGCGACGCTCTCAGAGACACTAACTTTTCTCTACTCTATTCGCGTTTATGTCAGCGAAATATTATGTAGGAGTTTAGGTGAGTGCGAGCGAGCACTGGTAGTCTATATACTGTTAGTCCTACCACGGGTGGCGTAATTCCGTACATAAGGGGACATGCATATCAATCACATACCCGTCCATTTCCGGCGCATACATGTAGTCATCACTTACGGTGTATTGTCTTTGCATTGATTGCATGAATGAAATAATCAATTGTTTTCGCAAAACATGTATTTCTGACGAGTTTTATGTCTCATTGTATTCATGGGTTACGCGACTCGTTATACCGATAGGAAAGGCATCGGTAGGTCTGTGCGGATGCGCCGCCAAATCGTAACTCATTTTTGAGACACAAAACAGACTATGAATTGAAAATGTATTTATTTCTGCTTGATATGAGCGATTCAGTCGAGTACTGGATTTGTTTTAATTTAATTTGTTACTATTTATCATGATAATAAAATACCATTAATTGAAATATACAATTAACAAATTAATTTTGTATTAGTTTGTTATAAATTTAATTTTTTTAGAAATAAAATATTTTATTATATATATATACTCACATATTTTAATAAAAAATATAATATTTTCTAAACTTATTATTAAATTATAACTTATAAAATGAAACAATTTTACATGATTTTGTGTTTATAATAATTGTATGTTTTAAATGTAATTTTTTTTGTTTTACTACATACTGGTAACCATTTATTACTGCATATAGAATTTGTAGATAAATTGAAAAATAAAATTTTATTGCTAATTAAAAAATAATTTCTTAATGTTATATAATTTTAATATTATAAATTTTGTTTATATAATATAAATTACAGATTGCTTTAATACAATACTTTAATTTTAAAATATTCCAGATTTTATCTAGGTTAATACATTAGAAAATAATTAATTTACTAATGTAAGCTTAGAATCGCAAGAATCGTGATTTTATGATAGCTTTCAATGATCACAGATTCCGCCACAGAATTCAGACTTTGAGTCAAATATTAATATATTATATAACACTCAGAAAATTTAAGAAAATTTGTGATTTTAGTTTTACAAAAAATATATAAACAAAAATTATTATATAAATAAATAGTTTTACTAGTACTGGTACTAATGAAAACATTAACTAAAAACATGTTTTCATCAACCATAGTTATACATAATAAATTACTATTATATGAATTAAATACAAAAGCATGTTAATGCAAATTTAAAAATTATTTTTATTACAATATTTAGTATTGGAAACAAAATAGTAATTGCATTTTAAACAAATTTAAATTCCAAATACTATAAATTACAAATACACATACAATCTGGGGAGGGTAGAACCTTTAAACAAATTTTAATTACAAACAAACAAAGTAATATTTGTTACAGTATATTAATTTAGTTATTAAGAAATAAGTCGTTGCTATAGATTTGCATAGTTTTCCAAATTCAACATTTAATATAAAATCGACGATAATTTAATTAAATAAATAAAGTTAATACCTGTAATAAAGTAGTTTAGAAATAAAACATTATTTAATCTTAAATAATCTTAATATAATAATTATAAATGTTTTAAATATAAAAATATTACTAATTTAATGACACATTTATTGAAAACAACTATTTTAAAATGTGGGGAGATTCGTGAAATTTGCAGTTTTGTGTCATAATTCAAGTATTTAACATTTATCTCTATTATGTGCATTCATTTTCTGTTTTTTCACAATTTTTAACTAAAAATGTCTAAAATTTTGTAATATGATATGAATTTCGCAAATACTTGATCTTATAATGTCAAGTATTTACCCTTACCTTGATCCTTGACTGGACCCTCAAATACTTGAAAGTCAAGCCGAAATACTTGACCCTGGTCACGCTAGCGCCGATAGCGTTGGGCCACTAATGAGAACTGGAAGCAAGTGTTGATTATTGAGATGAGGGTTGGCCTCAACCTATTCGTCGAGAAATACATTTTAAAACATTTCTCTGATAAATAAAATAAGTTATTGGAAAACGTCTCAAAAATTGTATTTATTATATAGGGGCGTATAGAAATGTT